TTATCTCATAGCATGTTAACATGAACTCTAAAAGACTAAAATTGTAAATAGAAAATATAAAACTCTAAATCTAACAAATAGGAACAGTTAAATAATTTGTGGCATTCACTGCAAAATAAAAATGTGGGGTCTCTCATTCAAAAGTTGTTAAGAATATCACGATGGCGACAAAAATGCATTAAGCCAACATTGGGCCCTTCTGAGCACAGGATTTTGTGTAACTGCATAGGTCGCATGCCCATAAAGCTGGCAGTGAAATAAAAGAAAACTTAAGGCCATATGATTATGGCTTAAGGGAAAAAATGATTTCATAAACAAAACTCCAGAAAGACCAAACATAAAGAGCAAAATTAGTAGTTGTGGTTTCATCAAAATAATGGAATTCTAGTGAACTAAGGAAACTGTAAATAAAATCACGATGGATGACATTTTTTTTTTTTTTAAAGATTTTATTTTTTCCTTTTTCTCCCCAAAGCCCCCCGGTACATAGTTGTGTATTCTTCGTTGTGGGTTCTTCTAGTTGTGGCATGTGGGACGCTGCCTCAGCGTGGTCTGATGAGCAGTGCCATGTCCGCGCCCAGGATTCGAACTAACGAAACACTGGGCCGCCTGCAGCGGAGCGCGCGAACTTAACCACTCGGCCACGGGGCCAGCCCCACGATGGATGACATTTTTGACGAATGGAAGCACCTTACAGTTTTCTCTAAAACTAGAAAGCCTCAATTTGCATCCTACTTTCACAGTTTGTCACTATAACTTGGTAAATTTGCTTAAATTATCGAACACTTGGTTTTCTTGTGGTAAAATGGGAATGATTTTAGTACCTCCTTCACTGGGCTTTCATAGGAATTAAATGTTCTAATACATGTAAAGAACTCAGAACAATAACTTACACATAATGAGTGCACAATAAATGTTATTTTTGTCTGTATGATATTTGCAACATATTAAATGACAAAGAATTTTTAATGTGATGAATATATAATGAACTCCTGCAAAGCAATACAAATAGAAAATCAATAGAAAGATGGAAACAGACATTACATTGACAAATGTTAACAGAAAGCTTGGATAGATAGGCAGATCATACAGAAATACCCCTTGGATAAATAATACATGATTTTCTTACCTAAATGATATAGCAAGAAGCAAAGATACACGTTGGAGACACCAGATTTCATTCCCTAAACAGAGGGAAATGCAAACTTTTGGGTCCCAAAATTAAAGGAAATAATTCACTATTACCAAAAGTAAAGCATCAGACTTAGAAAGAACAAAAACAAATACTACTTTTCTTTATTCCTCTTTATTTGGTTTCCATACAAAAATATTAATAAACAAATAGAACATTAAAGATAATCACATTTCTGTATTGATCAATGGGATACTTATCAATGAGATGAGACTTCTTTCATTAACTCTTATTACCAATTTTCTTTCCACCATATACACCAAAGGGATTTTCCAAGGGAATTCCCAAGAAGAGAAAGTGAATCCACACCTCTTCACAGGAAATAAAAAGATATTTGAATAAGGAAACAACTAGGCAGTTGAGACTGTGTTGTTGTCTATAGTTCTTGAACTAAGGGACAAAAACAGTAAGGGAAGGAAATAGAAAGACTGAAAAAGACAAGTGGAGCTCAAGATAGGAATTCCCTGAGCCCTACAATCATGTTGCAGGTGTGGAAAAGTATTCTGTTTCTTCTTACAATTCTTCTCAGCACCCAGGAGACACTCTCCCTCAGGATTTTTTTGTCTAGCAATATGTAGCTCATAAAAAGGCAGGCAAAATTTCAGAAAAGGAGGAAAAGACTTGAAAATGAGTTTATACTGCAATTCCAACATAAGCTATCCTTTCAAATATTTCTCTACAGTTTATAATCACTAGGAGTGTCAACTTAAAAAACTTTCCTACCTGTGAATCAGAACTCAGTCAGGTAAGAGAATAAAATAGGAGACAGACTGGGAAGCTGCCCATATTTTTGATCTGTTAATGAGTGACCTGTCTGCTTGCTAGTATTAAAATTAAATACCCAGGATTTAAAGCTGGTTTCCTGTCTTATGATGAACTCCTCACTGTGTTTGTGGATTATAAAGGCACTTTACTTCCCACAATTTTACTGCCATACCACATTCCTCATTCAACATGCCTGCTTCTCTAGACATTCTTCAAAGCAACTTTTTAATACTGAAATATCGATATTACAATGAAAGAAATCATTTAGTACAGAGGAGTCTGACTGCTAATTTTCTTTAAAAGTCAGAAAAAGGTTTTTTTTCCCCAAATGAATTTTTGATGTAGTACTCTTTTGTGGGTTAGAGGACAAAAAATTGTATTTTGCATATCAGTTTTCCTTTAAACAGGAGTGGTAAAATTATTTAAATACACAAAATATACATGACAATTGTGGGGGATCAGAATTGGTCACCCTCAATTACAAGTCTTTGGCATAAGGATTATTTTAGGGCGATTATTTTTAAGAAGAAGCAGACACAGAAGAAGCTCTGAAAAGCAGTAGAAGTTACCCTTTTGTAAGAAACATTTACATTGATGAGGGAAATCTCCATTTGTAAGGGTATCTCCCTCTCCTTAACAGGAAGAGAGGGATGACTTTATCCCTAGAAACTAATATCAATGCGGAAGGCTAGGACTTAAATCTGAATAAGAACCTCATTCTTGTTTACTGTGCTTTTCTGGTAATCTCCCATAGCTGACTCCCTCCACCCCTAACATCCTCCTTTGTCTTTAGCTGAAGATGACATTTAAACTGGTAGCTCAGACACTGCGATGAGTTTCTCAGTTTTCCTGGGTTTCTCCCATGTATACGTGCTATAAAGCTTTGTTTGATTTTTTCTCCTGTTATTCTGTCTCATGTCAATTTAATTTGTAGCTCAACCAGGAGGACGTAGAGGGTAGAGGATTTTTTCTCCTCCCCTACACTATTAAAGAAAGCTACTCCGAATTGTTTGAAACAGCCCTTTATGAAGCTGTAGTAGAGGTTAGATAATTTTCTCAAAATTTCATGAAGGTATAAAGCCTAGAATTCCATGGGTTCCCTTGAAATGTTCATTCACTTTTTTAGTCTAGTCACATCAAATCATCTCTTCTGTCCTCTGTGATTTCTCAAATTTGAATAATTCTCCTTTTATAGAAACCACCATGTTATCTGCATCTGTATTCAAATTTTCTTATAGTTCTTATTCTTCTCTCAGAGCCTCTCATTTCTATAAAAGTTGGCTACAGGGGCCAGCCCAGTAGGACAGCGGTTAAATTTGTGTGTTCTGCTTCAGTAGCCCAGGGTTCACCCATTCAGATCCCGGGTGCAGACCTATGCAACACTTCTCAAGCTATGCTATGGCAGGCCTCCCACATAAAGTAGAGGAAGATGGGCACAGATGTTAGCTCAGGGCCAGTCTTCCTCAGCAAAAAGAGTAGGATTGGTGGCAGATGTGGGATCAGAGCTAATCTTCCTTGGAAAAAAAAAAAGTTGGCTACACACCCTTGCTTCTTCTCTCCCAATATTCAAGAGCTAATTCACTACATCTGTAAATGAAAGAAATGAAAAGGAAGCTATTTTGTGAAATTACATCTGCTTTTGTCAGTGTACCCGAAGGAGATAATGTCAGGCACTTTGCAAATAATGGGGGAAAAAAGATTCAAAAAGTCTCCTGTCTTTCAGTAAACCAAGTAAGTTTAGTCAAATATTAAACCTCATTGTAATTAGTCACAATTCCTCAAGTGTTTTAACATTCACTACATAAAGGACTATTATTTCACTTCTGCAAATGAAATGAAAATTAATGCATTCCTTTAGTAGAAAACAAGAATCATATTTGATAGAACAAAGGGAAAGAAAGAAAAGACATTTTTCAAATGAGAAGAGATGGAAATCTGTGATAACTTTAGAGAGGCTGATATGAAGCAGACAGACTTCTGGGGCCGTGAAAGATAACGTGACTGCCAGTGACACATTGACGGAACTAGAAGTAAAGAATATGAGTTCCACTTGAGGTAGAATTTTCTTTAATATTTGAAAAAAAATTTACTTCAGGCCAAATAGAAACAGAACCTAACTAAATAGATCATAAGAAAAGATCAGATTTTAAGGAGGCTGAAGCGATACACACTTCAAAGAGAGGTCAATGTAAGGTGAAATAACGAACTGATGAGGCCACCTGAAAATGAATTTTCTTACCCATCGATTTGGTGATCTGGATAATGAAAAAGAGTCCCAAGGTAACTAGAGAATGGAAGCACAATAACAATGGTCATCAAAGTAGTAATTTGGGAATTCTATTTTGAGAAAGCAAAAGGCTCAGATTATAGGAAGAAATTAAGCTCATTGTCACATACAGCAGTGATAAAAATTCAAATATACTTCAGCCTAATATCTGATTAACATGGTCTTATTTCTTACTCCAGTAAGGCTCTATCATGTTTCCGGGGATGTGGGTCAGGAGGAGATCAGTAAAATACCACTAGCTCCATTTACATTCTAAGATGAGGAAAAGCTATTACTACTATTTCATGGACTTTAGAGTTGCAATGAGTTTATCCCTGTCTATTTTTGTTAAGCTAAAATGTCTTAAGTGGCTTCTTAGTAGGTCTAGAGATAGCAGGATGGTGGAGTACTTAAAGAGGTGCCCCCTGTTAGAGCCAACATAAGAAGATGAAAGGAAAGTTGTATTAGAATGTAGCAATTCACAGACAAAGAAGATGGGCTGCAACAAGCTCTGAATTACTGGAAGAAAGAAAAATATTAGTGATTAACCTGATAAAGAAAAAACATGATTGAGTCACAGTCTGTAAGTGACAGGTAGTCAATATTTAACAGTCTAATGGCCCACATACTGTACAACCTCTGAGGTTGGGATCACATAGAATAGCACCGTTACGCCGTAAAACATTTTATTTCTTGGAAAGAAATCCTGGGCTGGAAGAATTGATCCTCATTAAAGAATAGTGTTCCATATATTATTTTTGTCTTTTCTTTTAAGTGATGCTGAATCAAACTTCAGTCACTGAATTTCTCCTTCTGGGGGTAACAGATATCCAAGAACTGTGGCCTTTACTCTTTGTCGTTTTCCTTGCAATTTATTTTGTCAATGTGGCTGGGAATGGAACCATTCTGATGATTGTCATCTCTGATCCAAGACTCCATTCACCTATGTATTTCTTCCTGGGAAATCTCTCATGTCTAGATATCTGCTACTCCACGGTGACACTGCCAAAGATGCTGGGGAACTTCCTCTCTACACACAAAGCAATTTCTTTTTTGGGATGCATAAGTCAGCTTCATTTCTTCCATTTCCTGGGCAGCACAGAGTCCATGTTGTTGGCTGTGATGGCCTTTGACCGCTTTGTGGCTATCTGCAAACCACTTCATTACACTGTCATCATGAATCATCAGCTCTGTACCCAGATGGCTATCACTATCTGGATCATTGGCTTTTTCCATGCCCTGTTGCACTCCGTGATGACCTCTCACTTGAACTTCTGTGGTTCTAACCATGTTCATCACTTCTTCTGTGATGTTAAGCCACTGCTGGATTTGGCCTGTGGGAAGATTGAGTTCAACCAGTGGCTGCTCAATACTGTCACAGGGATGATTGCTATGGGTTCATTCTTTCTAACACTTCTCTCCTATTTCTATATCATCACCCACCTCTTCTGCAAGACCCATTCTTGCAGCACGCTTCACAAAGCACTGTCCACTTGTGCCTCCCACTTCATGGTAGTTATTCTTTTCTTTGCTCCTGTTGTCTTTACCTACATTCGTCCTGCTTCAGGCAGCTCCATGGACCAGGACCGGATCATTGCCATCATGTACAGTGTGGTCACACCTGTGCTAAATCCATTGGTCTACTCTTTGAGGAACAAGGACGTGAAGAGGGCCTTGAGTAGGATGATCAGAAGGAGGCTCTGACTTGAAGAAATCTAGAGAACTCTTCTGAGGCATAAATAAGTAGGCAATGAGAAACTTTAAATGTGAAATTATACTACTTCTCAAATTGTTTACAATATTTATGACAGAAGGAACTGGATAAATGAAAATTAAATGGGAATGCTCAGTCTAGTTGTATTAAACAATACATTCATAGGTAATATAAAGACAGCTTGAACAAATGGGACCCTATCTGTGAAACTCTAATTCTGAATTTGTTTTTGAGATATCAACTGACATAATTGATTTGTTACATATTCTAATGTGTTTCTATCTGAAATTAGGTATAGAAATAAATATTACCCATGTATTTGCTAGATGGATACTACTCAGCCCTCTTTATCTGTATGATCCCTCTAAGATAATACATTTTAATGTGAGAAATAAAATTATGATGCTTTTATATTTTTTTTTTAAGATTTTATTTTTTCCTTTTTCTCCCCAAAGCCCCCCGGTACATAGTTGTGTATTCTTTGTTGTGGGTTCCTCTAGTTGTGGCATGTGGGACGCTGCCTCAGCGTGGTCTGACGAGCAGTGCCATGTCCGCGCCCAGGATTCGAACCGACGAAACACTGGGCCGCCTGCAGCAGAGCGCGCGAACTTAACCACTCGGCCACGGGGCCAGCCCCAATGCTTTTATATTTTGAGGATTTTAATTGAGGGCCATGGTTGCTCAATTAGAAAAGTAAATGTAGAGTCCGGCCAGTTGGCATTTTAGTTAAGTTTGCATGCTCCACTTCAGCAGCCCAGGGTTCACAGGTTCAGAACCCAGGCCTGGACCTAGCACTACTCATCAAGCCATGCTGTGGTGGCATCCCACATAAAATAGAGGAAGCTTGGCATAGATGTTAGCTCAGTAACAATCTTCCTCAAGCAAAAAGAGGAAGATTAGCAACAGATGTTAGCTCAGGGCCAATCTTCTTCACACACAAAAAAAGAAAAGTAAATGTTAACTCAAATATAATTTAAGAAGAATTTTTAAGAAATACATCATGATTTCTTGTTCTCCAAGCATGGAGACAAACATTAAAGCAAATGACAGGGGCTGGCCCCAGTTGCCTAATGGTTAAGTTTGGTGCTCTCCACTTCAGTGGCCCAGATTTGGTTACTGGGCACAAACTTACACCGCTTGTCAGGGGCCCCACTGTGGCCACATACAAAATAGAGGAAGATTGGTACAGATGTTAGCTCAAGGTGACTCTTCCTCAGCAGAAAACAAACAAAAAAGCAAATGACAATGTAATCACCAATGAACAGCAATAAAATAACCTATGGTTCATCTAAAGAGTTATGGAACCTCTATTTCCAGAGATGTTTTAGAAATCAACTAGCCAAATTGTCAAGGATTACTGTGAACTGTTGTTAAAAGTGGAGACAGGTTACAAAAAAACTCAAAGATATATTTTATCTCGTTAGTGTGTCATTTTCTGTCAGCTTCTGGTCATGAAAAACATTGACTTTCAAAATCATTTCTTCTTTTTTGTTTGTTTTCCTATTCTATCTACATATCAGTTTACTGTAATATAATGTAACATGATGTAATATGGGAGAAATATGAAGAATAACTAAAATTTTGGTTATTTTCCTTACTTGGCACCAAATTCATAGTTAGTGAAAGCAATGAAGTCATAATTGCTGAGATGTTTCTGGAGCTACTAGGTAAGGGGTGCTACATTCCTCAGTTTTTAAGTACCCAGGAGTGGCTGCTGGCCCTTAAATTATGGTAGAGTGCCAGCATTTACAACTACTTACTTATTTATTTACTTTCTTACTTTTTGCTGGGGAATATTTGTCCTGAGCTAATATCTGTTGTCCATCTTCCTCTCTTTTTTTTGCCTCCCCAAAGCCCCAGTACATAGTTATATATTCTAGTCGTAAGTCTTTCTAGTTCTTCTTATGAGCTGCTGCCATAGCATGGCTACTGACAGACAGGCAGTGTGGTTCTGCACCCAGGAACCCCAAACCAAGGCTGCCAAAGTGGAGCACACTGAACTTTAACCACGGGACCATGAGGGCTGGCTTTACAACTATTTAGAGATACAGCTAGACAAAACAATGAAAGTGATTTTGAACTGTTGGATTGACTATTCAAAAGCTCTGCATTCACTTTTGCAAACCCAAACAGTTTTGTTTGGACTTGTCTCTTGTGCTTCTTCTCCTTTCCAACTTAATCTTCTTTGATCCATCAATTCCAGTTCTGTTAACGAGAGACTGTATTTGTGGAGAAGGCATCATTCACCTTGAACTGTCTCAGACTAGCGTTTCTTTCAATAAGAATTTGCTACATAATCCAATCTGCTTAGAGGCTGTGAATTATAGAACAAGTGGGGGCCAGCCCATTGGAGCAGTGGTCAAGTTCGTACGTTCCGCTTCTCGGCGGCCCGGGGTTCACAGATTCGGATCCCGGGTGCGGACATGGCACTGCTTGGCACACCATGCTGTGGTAGGCGTCCCACGTATAAAGTAGAGGAAGATGGGCATGGATGTTAGCTCAGGGCTAAGCTTCCTCAGCAAAAAGAGGAGGAATGGCAGTAGTTAGCTCAGGGCTAATCTTCCTCAAAAAAAAAAAATAAACAAAAAACAGCAAATGGAGTTCTGGTGTCTACTGCTGCATAACACAGTAGTACTCTAAAACTTAGTGGCTTAAAACCACTTATTTAAGTAAATTGCATTATTCTGTGGGAGAAAATGGGAGGGCTTAGCAAGGAAGGGTTGACTCTGCTCAGTAAGATCTGAGGCCTCAGCTGAGATGACTTAAACAGCTGGACATGGAATAGCTGGGAGGTGACAAAGTCTCTTTCTCTATGTTTCTCTCTTTCTTCAGTTTCCCCATGTGGCTATCTTGGGCTTCCTCAGCATGGAAGACTCAGGGCAGACTTTTTACATGGGAGGCAACAGACCAAGGCCAAGGTGTCAGTTGTCTCAAAGACAAAGTCCATAATCGGCATTAATATTCACTTCTACTATACTCTATTGGTCTAAGCAGTCACAGGCCAACCGAGCTTCATAGAGAATAGAAATAGACTTCACCACTCAAGGGAAAGAGTGTCAACAATTTGTGGATATCTTCAATCCACCACAGTCCCGCCTCTAACTACAAAACATTTTCATTGTCCCCACATATAAAGTACACTTACTCTCCCTGTCAATAATGCTAAAATCTATCCCATTACAGCATCAGCTCAATGTCCAGGTCTTTTCATTTAAATTAAGTAAAGGTACAGATGTGGCTTCTTGGGTCTGCTTCCTCAAGTATAGGTCCTTTTAATCTGAACAACTTTGAACTAAAGAGTCAAGCTATCTACCCATCACAAACTCAACACACAATGGTATGATAGATATAGGATGACCAAAATAGAAAAATTTCATTCCAAAAGGGAAAAATTGGAGTTAAATAATAGTAACATAGCAGTTATGAAATCCAGCTGCGGACATTTTTCTAACTCTGTCCCTAAAGCCCAAGATGATGAAATTGAAAATGATGATGCCAATGAAATTCTCTTAAAAATATTTTAGAGTCTTATGATTCTCATTGAGGTTTACTCAGTTAGACAAATGCCACACCCACAAATCTGTTTGAGACAGGTTTTTCTCTGGCTTTAGCTGAGAGTAAGGGTATTTTAAAATTCCTAGAAATATTTTAGTCTGGTTGAAAGGGTCTGTAAGCCATGTCTTTAGGAGTCTTAGGGGCCTTCTTATCTATCATGGAGGGCCTAGGAGACCTGTCCTTAACATTTTTAGAATCTAATCTAGGTTTCCTTTTTATTTTTCTGAGGTCTCAACCAAAGATCTTATAGCCACATCCTTGACAAACTTTTGCCATCTAGAGTAACTAGGACTTATACACAGTTTAAGTGGCCTGCAACACCATGGCAAGCATTTATTGAAAATATAGCCCTATTCCTTCCCCAAAAGGAACTACCTTCGTTTATTCAGATGACTGTGCACTGAGAAAAGGGGAATGCCAAGATATTTCAAGCACCATTAGACACATAGTCTGAGTTGGCATCAATACACCAAGAACCAAAGCATCGTCGTAGCCCACCTGTTAGACTGGCCACACAGAGATCAGGAAATAAACAGAGTCATGGTAAAATCTAATTTACATGTGTCAGCTGGTACTGCTGACACACCCAATAGTCATTCCCCAACCATCAGGTGTATGGTTGGAATTAAACTACCCAAAAGTTACAAAAGCTCCTTCATCATGTCATTGGTGAGTAGCAAATGAGCTATCATACTGGAGAAGGCCAAGTGGAAGCCTTTGAAACTGCCCCATCTGGCTAAGCTATTAAACCAAAAACAATATCACATATTGTTATCACATATCAATGTTTGAGAAGGGTAGCCAAGATTAATGTCCCCTTTAAATATCTAAAGACTGAAAGATCACTTGCAGAGATCAGACGGATCCTGGATAATGACTACAGACAATGCCAAGCTCAAACAAATAATAACCTTGACCACAGAGGTCATGTTGGACATAGCATCATTGATGAAACAGATTTACAGGATCTCAGGTAAATGGTATATGCCCATTTGATTTGACAAATGCATTCTTGTTTCTTGGGAGCATCCCAGGAATGAGTATTTCAAGAGATCCAGGAAAAAGTTCCAAGGTTCCTTATGACATATCCTCAGAAGCCCCAGAACATCCTTTCTGCTGCATTCCATCGGTCATGTAAGTCACTGCCAGCCCAGATTCAAAGGGCAGTATCCCTACAGGGCATCAATACTAGGAGGCATGGCTCATTCAGTGTCTATATTTTCAGACTAGCTGCCACAATGACTTGAGACTCATTGTGCCACTCCAATCTGATGATTTTCATTTTGTTTTTACCTAGCAAAAACATACATGGTCCATTCTAGGTGTCAGACATTAAGTAGTTTACACATATTAAGAGATTTAATCATCATAACTACCTTTATCCTTACCTTACAGATGAGGAATTTGAGGCACACAACTTAAGTAACTTGGCCAA